TTAGATATATTTTACACCTGATGATGGTTTTATAAAAACCGAAACATGTTGTGTAAATATTCCGAAATGTAAATCGATCAATCGATATGGAACATGAATGATATTTTATTATCTTAATTATAAGAAATTTTAAATATTGTTATCAGACGGATTAAAATAAATAATTGTTATAATATTCACAATATGACGCAGTTACACTATCTTATCAAAATTCAAGCTAGGGCCAATGGCTGAGACACTGTTTTTGTGGAATAAACGGACGTATTTCATGATTGAACTTGTTGGGAGTAAGGAAGTTTACTTTTGTTAACGCTGTGCTGAAATAAAGATCACTTCAGGGCTAATCAGAAATATCACACAGTCTTCATGAAGAGAATATCGATAATAAGCAGTTCGATACTTGAAATATCGACCCTACCTGAACAGCGGCCATGTTGTTGTCATTCGTAAAGTCGATCCAGCACTACCAAGGTTTATAACAAAACATCTCAATTTATATATGTGGGTTTCTTTAGAAATTTGAATAGGATATATGCAATTATCGACTTGTCGTGTGCCCCTCTTCAAATCGTTTCCTATAATTCGATTCACATTCATGTGAAAAGACAAATTTCCCCTTCAGTGATTTTTAGGTTAAGGTGATTTTTTTTTTGTCTGAGTTCAACTTCACTTCAACTACTTCCGGTGTGTCTTTGTAACGTATAATAACGCGTTGCACATGGCAATAATAAATAGAAACAAAGAACAATCATTATCTTACGTGAGGCATAGAGCCATGACGTAGTGAGAAAGTGCGTGGATCAGATTTCGTGTCATCCATGATGTACAACGTTGTTTGTCCCCTCGGTAACAAGGATTGTCCTGTCCTATTGGTTTTACAACACGTGCGTATAAACGCTGTTGAACACAGTTTGACTTTCTGGGTACAGTATGACCCAAAATATCGTTGCACTGTTTTTATCATTACGACAAATGATTTTGTTTTATTATTTAGTGTTCTGTCTGACGACAGGTCCATATGAACAGGATCCTTCCAGCCTTTTCTCGGACTGGGACCTGTTCATATACGTTCTTGGCAGATGATCCAGAAGTGGTTTGCCATTGCCTTCTTCTGTGTGTGAATGGAGTAATTGTTGGGATGCAACGGAGGAAAACTCCGTGTTGCCTAGACCACGGCCTTGCCATATTACCTCAAAACAATGTCTGAATAAGTAATCTTGTCATCAAACGACAGCAACAGTGGAGTAAATGACAGAAACACGCTCTAAATTCCCCATGCCTAGGTTATCAGATATTAAGATATCTGCTCTTCAGGTCATCTGTTCCAGTCTGAGAAATATAATCAGACGACATCAAGCGCTCATAGATAATACTTCTCCGAATAAGTGCAAGTACAAAAACGCTTAGGTGTGGTGCAAAAAATTGCAAACAAAACATATGATGATGATGAACACCAAGCGACAAGACAGGATAAAAATATGAAGTGGATACAAAGTCTGAAAAAGCAAGATAAATGTATCCGTAAAAATAAAATCTAGTTTATGGACCACGTTTTAACGAATGTTTAAAGTTTCGACACGCGCAAAGCGACACTGATAATATCTTCACAGAACGTTCCAAAAAGAGAAGGGCCTAAGGTCAAAACGTTGTTACATGAATCCCGGAGGAAAACCAAAATTCTGAGCATTAAACATCGTAAGCTGCATTTAACAGCAGACAGGCTAGATCAGTGGTCCCCAACATTTTTGTGCCTACGTGATAAAGGCTGGTAATTTTATAACATTTCCCGACAGCAGATCCTCAGTCTAAATATCTACACTTGACTGTATCACTTTTGACTTCCTAGTTCAAAGGGCAGGTTTGCATCAGGAAAGCGCTGTATTAGCGGGAACATGGCAGACGTTTTGCAGGTGTGAACAGCAACGGATTTAAAATTTGAATACCTGATCTATAATCTTACTGACAATTCCACGTCTCTGAAGTTTCGTTAAATAATTGACAACGTGAAGTTGACTGTAACATCGTCCTGATGATGGAGGGAGCAAATACCTCTGAAACGTCGGTAAACTCCTACCAAAGCACACGCGCTAAGACCCTGAAGACAGCTATCTTCATAATCGGATCCGTGAGAACCTTATGCCTCGCCAAATTACCAATTATGTTAATGTACGCTTTCAGGTTCTCACGGTTGCGAGTATGAAGATGGCTGTCTCCCGGAATGTTGCGCCGTTTAGTATGGAAAAAATTGACCGACGTTTCGGAGGAGCTTACTGTCTCCTCGCTCTGATGATTGAGATATTACGTTAGAAACGAAAATTATTCACTTTTGGGTTTTCATAACCAATAAGATTATAATTATTTACAATATAGTAGAACAAAGAATAAATAAGCGACCATTATGTTAGATTTTTATTAATATCTGCCTCAGTGAGATGGATAATTCCTTTTTTTAGTGATACTTCCAGCACAGAATTGTATCATTAAAACATAAATGGCTGCGATTTGCCTTATATTAATCTTTTTATCACGCAATCTTTAAAGTACTAAATTATCTTTGGACACTCACTCAGAATATAATTGTGTCTACTAAATTCACAATCATCATAATTTGTTTTTCGGTTCATTATCATTCAATACCAAAATGTTAATTAGGTTGGCCCATAAACGTCCGTCAAACTCCCTTCATTTTATAAGTCCAGAAAATCTGCATTCCAATCAGGTACGTCAGGCCACTGGATCGATTTTTAGACAATTACAATTTTTTTATTATTTTGGGCTCTGTTTATCGTGATTTGATTATTACTGTCATCACATCACGGTGTTTCGAAGGTTGAATTTTCTCCTGTCGTCAGGTGTAAAAAGGGTACAGCGCCTCTTCTGCTGGATCGGATAGAAACGTTAACGTTCATGAAACAACCTCAAGACAATTTCATATGCGTTGCCGGAAGTAACCAAAATCCGTCTAAACTCTTTTGTCCTAGGCAAAAGTAGGAAGTTCTCTCCTTGCGTGGAGTCTGATTGTGTCAGGCTTTCTAGTTTTACGTACGGAAACTATTTCACATGGATTCGGGTATTTTATGCAACATATGTAAGACTGTAAAGTAGCGACATTTTTTTATATGTTTAAAAATGTATTGTGTACGTGTGTGTCGTTTGATAGTCCATAGCCAAGAGGAAAATATTTTATTTAGATTTTATTTTATTCTCTGTTACACAAATTAAGCAATTCATTGCGACCAGCTATTAAGAACGTATTACTGATTCTTATTTGTGTTCAGAATTTGTGGTGCATTCATGTACAGTAAAACCCCTCAAGTTGGACACCCCTTTATATTAGACAATTTTAATTGGAACCGGTTAATATCCTATAATTTTACATGTCCACAATACCCTATATCTTGGACACCCCTTTTGTTGTAAGTTGGACATCCCTTTTGTTGTAAGTTGGACATCCCTTTTGTTGTAAGTTGGACATCCCTTTTGTTGTAAGTTGGACAGGTTCATGCACTTAACTTTGATGCTTTTAAGGGAAACTTTTTCAGTTACATATTTTGTTATTTTGAATTTCTGACTGATGAACGCCTCCTCTCATGGACATTGAACCCATCATTGGAATGCATTGAAAGTGTTTAACTATTCTTTTGCTGAATCTTTAACTGGACTACAGGATTGCAGAAGACACAGTTTTAACCCCGCTTGCATTTGAGTTCAGACTGTTAACAGAAATTGAATTTTTCTTTTTTGCGATGTGGAAGCGAAAATTCGTGGAATTAACTTTATAAAATGTTATTGAGGCTGGGGTGTAATGTGCAGTGCATGGGAGTGCACTTCAAAAGATTATTATTAATACTATTGTCATTAATTCTTAATTCACGTACGTAAGTAATTAGATTATATTGTCATTAGACCACAATCTGATTTTTGTCTTTCCCTCTATCTTGGACACCTCTGTAAGTTGGACACATTTTCGCGGAACCCCAAGTGTCCAACTTAGAGAGGTTTTACTATATAAATGAGTATCGATTATTATTAATTACGCTGGAATTATCAGTTTTGTGATAATCACGTGGCGTTATGTTTTACAATTTTCGGAGAGGTTTATGTAGAAGGCTGTTACATTTAAATTTAGTGTGCGACTTTTGCATTAAGGTTTTCCGTCTGGAGTGTCCAACATTGTCATCGCCAGTTGACTGTATTTTAACAGGAAAAAGAACTGGACTGAGGAAACGATCCGATTGGTTTGCGGTGGGAATACTTTATTTTTGTGTAATAAAAAACGTCGAAATATTAAAATTTAATTACAGCAAAACTGTTATAAATTATATAAGCCAAATAATGAAGACATTCATTTTAATTCATTAATTGTTTTACAGAGACTAGTAAAATGTCATTTTATTGGATTGTATCATGTCAGATGTCAGGCCTTAACATGGAGCTACGGGACAAATTATAATTAATGGTTTTAATTACTTACTGTATGGAAGTTCACACTGACAACATGTCTAGAGTAACCCCTTAAGTTTGCAGCATAATACTTGTTTGACAATGCGATTTCTTGAATATTTTACAGATTTAAGATCATACAAATACAGTGATCGGTTTTATCATTCAGTCGCTCAAACTATCCCGTGGTTCGAGCATTAACTAAGACTAGGTTAACATCCCGCAGACATTCAAACTGTTAATACAAATGTATAGTAAGAGGATCTTCGAATCTCTGTATAGATCAATGATTTACGGCAAACGGGGTAGTCAGCTGTTTCTGCAGAGTATATTTTTTTTTCATTTCAGGAATACTTCAGATTTTACTTTTAACTAGAAATCTAACTGTACGTAGCAGAGTTCTTCCTTGGAAGCTGACTGTCGTTCATTAGTCTAGAACTAACCTCGTATTTTATTTAACCCAACGTTTAATTCATGTATTTACAGCAAGACTTCAGTGCGTTGCATCCTGAGCCAGTTCAGTCCAATAAACATAGTCATAGGTTATTTATTTCAGATTCCATCTATTTCTTATCTAGCAAGTGGTCTCTTCCCTTCTGGTATTCTGGCTGAAAATTTTGTCCACATTATCATCTTCCTCGTGTTTGTGTAGACCATATACAAGTGTAGACTTACGTATCACCGAATATGAAAAATGTAGAAATTGTCATTCATAAAGTTTCTTTACAAAATAACTTTGTTGATTGGAACACTTAATTTAACTGACTTATTTTCATACAAATCAACGGAGGTGGTGTCTCGTAATGCATCACGTCTGTAAGTTCTTGGTGCATTGATACAGACAGATACGAGTAGCGTTTTTGAGATGCAGCTAATTATTTAGCCACACAAATGTCTTAAAATACATCATTTGCTGTCGGTTCTATATTACACTTTTCCTACGTATTCTGATGATTTGTACGACGCAGAACACGCGAACGATACTTAATTAAGTTCCTTACTTTATTTA